TTTTCAGCAAACTGTTCACGCAACACTCGGTCAGAATTCCCAACTCCCCCCGGTGTTTTCTTAGCAACAACCTCCATTAAAGACTTTAATACATGGGAAAAGTCCCGCAGAGACTCCCCCTCTTTTTGATGCCGCTGAAAAAAACACAACTGTGCTGCCACATAAGACTGAGAGCAACTGAAATTTTCAACAAGGATTTAAAAAATCTTTTCAGCTGTATCTCTATCCGAAGCGTCATAAAAATCAACTTCTGCCTTTGCCCCCCCATCCAAATGGTCATACAAAAATAACACCTGTTCAGCTTGAGATGTAGGCCTTGCCGCCAAACATCTTCGGGTCTCCATAACCCATTGGTCTACAGTCAATAAATCAACTGTAAATTTAGAGCATTTACATTCTCGAGGGACATAAACATAACGTGTCTGGCCCCACGCCTCTGATGTATTACTGGGTATACCTTGTTCAACCCTAATACAGGGTTCTTGCAGGTTTCAGTAAGTTACATTTAAGACATTTTTAAGACCTTTTAAGACCATTATGAGTAAAATTTAAGACCAACACAATGTATTGCTAGAAACATTCGAATGATACCAGAAATTCTCATATTTTATGTCACCCATATCCTTAGCCCAACATCCACATATCATATGTGTTTACGAAGTGCGTTTTAATAAGTTCACATGTGTTTAAAGCATGTGGGTGGGGTATTTTAAGGCTTAACTATATATGTATTAAAAAAAAGTTTATGTATATGGTCATTCTATATCGCGGATTTTCACCTATCACTGATGGGTTTTTTTTATTATTTTTTTTTATTGTTTGTAGGTAGGTTGGTTCTTATCGTACTCCGGCCCTGTAGAGGGAGCTGGTTCGCCTGGAGGTGAGCTGGATTACTGGGCATCCAGTATGGTTTTACGCCCTTGACCCTTACGCACAGAGATTGTTCCAGATTCTCTGAATCTTCGGATGATGTTATGCACAGTTGATGATGATAACTGCAAAGTCTTTGCAATTTTTCGCTGGGTAACACCTTTCTGATATTGCTCCACTATCTTTCTGCGCAACATTGTGGGAATTGGAGATCCTCTACCCATCTTGGCTTCTGAGAGACACTGCCACTCTGAGAAGCTCTTTTTATACACAATCATGTTGCCAATTGACCTAATTAGTGTTAATTGGTCTTCCAGCTCTTCGTTATGCTCAAATTTACTTTTTCCAGCCTCTTATTGCTACTTGTCCCAACTTTTTTGGGATTTGTTGACACCGTGAAATTTTGAATCACCATATTTTTCCCTTAAAATGATACATTTTCTCAGTTTAAACTTATGCTCCGTGATTTATGTTCTATTCTGAATAAAATATTGACATTTTCCATCTCCACATCATTGCATTCAGTTTTTATTCACAATTTGTTTAGTGTCCCAACTTTTTTGGAATCCGGTTTGTACACACACACACACATACTATATATGTTATATTCAGCCAGCAAACCACAACTACCTACCATCCGTCCACCAATTATACACCCAAATACCCTCCACCAGTTAGCATAATTAAACGGCACTCACCTCGCCTGTCACGTCCTGGGCTAGCTGTAGAGAGTAAAAGTTTCGCCAGTCGTATTAGATTTTTGTCCAACTCGTAACACAATTGACTCAGCGTTCAGACTAACTTTCTCCCTTACCAACTGGACTCGCCAAACAATTTCTCCTTTCCTCCCCTTGCGTTGATTCAGATGGCTAAATCCAGTTTAATTTATTCTTTCTCTATAATTCGTGAACCGTCCTTAATAATTGGTGATTGTCAATTTAAAGAGAAGACATGTAATAATACTTTTTTAAGGAAAACTCTCACTAAACAACTTTTCCCTTCTCAACTAAAGAGAAAACATATGTTCAGAGATTATA